ACTGGAATCCGATCATCATAGCTCCAGTCGCATATGCCATAGAAGAGTGTCATTTGACTCAGATTCTATTGTAGCAACTCCACCTACAACTGTATTCTCGAGTAGCTTGTATATATTCCCTGCTAATTTTTTACCCTTCATCACAATCATAGCCCCTTTTTTCACTATCAAGGCCCCACTCTGACTTATAAGAATAACCATATGTGTCTAAAGTGCCTAAAGAAATGAGGTTCTTTTTCAACTCTGGTACATGCCTAATATCCTCCAAGGTCCTTACCACACCATCGAATATTTTAAATTTTATGGACCCCTTCCAATGATCTTATATGATGCATCATTACCCATCAGAACAGATCCAAAATTACCTGGACGATATGAATCAAACCAATCCCGGCGAGGACACGTGATATGAACAAGCTGAATCAAGTACCCAACAGTCATGTAATTTTTCAGAATTACCTGCCGAGATTGATAGCATGTCTCCATCTCCAATCTCCCTCTGTTACACTAGCTGAGTTTGAGGACCTATCACCTTTCCTTTCATCACCTTGCTTCTTATTCGAACAGTCTTTCTTAAAGTAACCCATCTAATGGCATTTGTAGCACTTAACGTTTTTTCTATTTTGATTATTAGATTTTGATCTCGTGTTCCATTTGTATGGATCACCGTCCTTCCTTCTCCCATGATCTTGGTAGCCCTTTACGATCAGTCCTTCTCTCTGTGAGCTTTCGCTAGTACGTAATTTTCGCTGGTTGTAGGCCAACAGGGTTGATGTGACTTCCTCCAATTCAAGAGTCTTTTTACCCCGTGTCAACATGGTCACCAGGTGATCGTATGAAGGAGGAAGAGAGCACAACAATATCATTCCCTTGTCTTCATCATCAAACTTGATTTCAAGTCGCAATAAATCACTGATAATTTTGTTAAACACATTGAAAAGTTGAATCAGATCCGTGCCTTTCAACATCTTAAGCCCGTATAGCCGCTGCTTCAGATGCAGTTTGTTCATGAGAGACTTCGATATATAACGACCCTCCAATTTCTTCCAAACCTCTGTCGGAGACTCAACATCCATGACATGATACATGATCTCATCCGCCAAACATAGCCGAATTATACCAACTGCTCACGTCTCGAGCTCTTCCCAATCGACCTATTTGATCCAAAAAATCTGTGTTGTAGTCTATATAAGCCACATACACAATAGCTTGGAACTGGGTTTTGAGTGTTAATGGTTGTTTGGGTATGTTGGTAGAGGCAGATTTTGTCATCTTGAATTTCAATCCTCGTGTCTGATCCATCATAAAGGCCAAAAAGAGAGACCAAGGATAGCTTGGCAATTGAGGATTGAAAATTGCTATTCATGCCAACAATTATGGCTGGATGACTGAGAATTACCAAGCACAACATTCTGATAACATGAACTGAGAGTGATTTCTTGATCATGCTAGTATGTTAAATTAGACGGCTTTATAGCCTATGTATATGGGTACAAGGGAAAGAAAATGGAAACATTCTACTCTAGGCCTACAATAGATCTGCCACTAATTGCAGGAAATAGATGCAAAATCAACTGTATAGGAAAAGGAAACAATCCTAAATCAAACCCATTTCCTACGGGTTGTATAATTTGTGGCTATGACTGAATGGATTCTCCTCAAATTTCATATATATGTGTGTGTGTGTTATTTTATTTTATTTTATTTTTATCTTTCCTTGATGGATCCTACCTGTTCTGTTTAAGTTTCTCTAACTTAAACTGGCAAGGGGAAAATCAACCTAGCCTCTGTAAAATGAACAAAAGGAAATAAGCAAGTGCAAACTATTGAGGGACATACACCTTATGCTATTGCTTACTATGACATTTTGCTAATGCAAGGACAACTTTGTACCTAAAAGGATGATTCCAGACTTTTATCGTGGCAGTCGTAACATTAGATTGCTAATTAATTTGCTACCTTCTGTACTTCTTTGAATTTATGAAGATTTATATATTTTCTCCCCTGGGCTATAAATTTTTGTTGATAGAGGCTTTATATTTAGCAACCAGGAGTACAGGTAAAAACAGTTTTATCTGGATGCTGACTATAAATGGATATTGCTAAAGGCCGAAAGGATAGGTAGGGAGTGCAGTGTCAATAGCTGGATTTTTCAACTAAATTGATGGATTGAAACCATGATTGCTTAGATGTTTTATACCTAGTTAAATTATCCTCCTTCGGTTTAGATGATGACAGCTGATTATGACCACTGATGGAATCATAATTGGTATAAGTGAAACAATAATCGCTAACGTTTTGGAAAGAATAAATCAATTACATTGTTTGGCTCAAGGAAGCCTACCTGCACAAGCACAAACAAATGAATTTTATATAGACAGGTGATTCCAAGGATATTTGTGCTCTTACAGCCAATTGTTCAAGTCATGGCACATCAAGACTCATCCCTAGTGCTGGCCAAAAATTTTGAATCACTTCAGAAAATTTCATGCAAGATGTACAATTTCTTTAGTTTGCTGTAATTAATTCCAAAAAGTTACTAGAAAGAGCATGCAACCACTCCTATTTTATTTTTTTCGAGATTAGGGTTCATTATATCCAAATCATTACAGAAGATAAAAGTTGTTAATACGAGGTGTCACAGTTGCACTGATGTTACATATTGGGCAGGGCCAATTACCATTACTTCTTTTCCCTGCAAAAGCCGAAGTATTACCAGAGCCACTTGGTGTCGTTCTCATATTTGCATCTTGGAATTTCCCCATCTGTAAGTTTCCTACCTTCTGGCCATTGTCATCCAAATTCGTGAATATTCAGATTGCACTTTACTGTGGAAAATTTATGAAAATTCACTCTTTGCTCCAATTTGAAATCAAAATTTTGATGTAAACATATTTTTACTTCACTTTTTTTTATTTAATACATGATAGTAAAGCTTGAAATTGTGCTAGGTATTGAGTGCTATCAATATCATCAATATTTTTCAAGCTGTTGTTGTCTATCTATGATTAAGATCCCATCTTCCCTTTTATGTAGCTCTGGCTTTGGATCCTTTGATCGGGGCTATATCTGCTGGAAACACAGTGGTTGTAAAGCCTTCGGAGCTGGCACCAGCATGCTCTTCTTTTCTTGCTCGTATAGTCCCCCTTTACTTAGACAACAAAGCCATTAAAGTTGTTGAAGGTGGAAGTGATGTAGCTGAGAAACTACTGGAGCAAAAATGGGAGAAGATATTTTTCACAGGTATCTTGTTATCGGTTAATTCTATTTCAACCTTTAGGATTCTGATGAAAACAGAAGTTCATTTGAAACATGTTATATCATTAAACCATAATCCTGCTTCATCCAATTGTAGCACATTTCTCCCATTATTGCATATCAGCATGTCTTGTGGATGATAATTAAATTCATATTTATTTCTTTTTCACTTTGACAAATATAATTACAGGCAGTCCCCGGGTAGGACGCATCATCATGTCTGCAGCTGCAAAACACTTGACACCTGTGACTCTAGAATTGGGTGGAAAGTGCCCTATCATCCTCGACTCTCTATCTGGCTCAGACTTAAAGGTTCCATTTTAATGCTCTTAGACAACAGTATAAAGACTGCCTTTTTTTGGGGAAGATCAAGAATCTGCTATGTTAATATGTTGACATATTGTATTCAAGGTGACTGTTAAGAGAATATCTGGTGGGAAGTGGGGAGCATGTGCTGGACAAGCATGCATAGGAATTGATTATGTGCTTGTGCAACGAAAACTTGCTCCAGTTCTGGTGCTCGACCATGTCCTCTTTGTTAACTTCTTGTGGAATTATTGGATCTACCTCACTGAAACTCTACTTTATATTTTTCAGGTTGAATTATTGCAAAAGTGTATCAAAACATTTTATGGGGAAAACATAAAAAACTTGAATAGTATCTGTAAAATTGTAAACAAGAATCATTTTGAAAGGGTTTGCAATCTTCTTGAGGACCCTGGTGTCGCAGCTTCAATTGTTTATGGTGGTTCATTCGACAAACAAAATCTGTAAGTTCTCTGCTTTCTTTCATCACTGTTTCTTTAGCTACTGTTTTGCACTGGTTGGGATGCCTAATATTGTTTAAACATTTAAGGTTAATTGAGCCTACGATTTTATTGGATCCTCCACTTGATGCTGCTATCATGACTGAGGAAATATTTGGTCCATTGCTCCCCATCATTACGGTATAATTATAATTTCGCTTTCAACTTTCCACTTTGTAGTGGAAAATGTGTACGACAATAAGTGTGTTCTGTATGCAGCTGAATGATGTGGAAGAAAGCATTGAGTTCATTAATGCGAGACCAAATCCACTTGCCATTTATGTTTTCACCAAAAATAAAACATTCAAGGAAAAATTATTGCAGGAAACATCATCTGGAAGTGTGATATTCAATGATACCATGATTCAAGTAAGCTACTTTCTTCTTGTCAAATGATTAAAATCTAAATAGTGATAAAACGGATGTGTATTTTCTGGTGTTTTTAAAATTGCAGTTCATATGTGATGGGTTGCCATTTGGAGGTGTCGGTCAAAGTGGTTTTGGAAGGTACCATGGGAAGTACTCTTTTGATACTTTCAGTCACGAAAAAGCAATTCTGCAAAGAAGCTTCTTCCTGGAACTCGAACCAAGGTACCCTCCGTGGAATGGTTTCAAGCTCGAATTCATCAGGTTGGCTTACAACTTTGACTATATTGGGTTGTTGCTGCTACTGTTGGGATTGAGGAGAAGATACACATCAAGGACTGTCATATAAAGTATTTTTAAGAAGGATTACTTTGTCATCAAGGACTGAAACAAATGGAACATTGAAATAACATTGCCTGTGAACAAATGAAGGCTAAGGAAGTAATTGTTCCAACTAATTATGCGACATAGTTTCTTTATAATTACTAGATTTGTCATCTATGAGCACAGCAAATTTTAGCAAGCAGCTTTATTTCATTAACTAATCTTTGACATCTGTTATTTGCTTCTAACTTTTATGTTAAAACATTAATCTTCTTTCATGGGGCAATCTCTCTTCCAGTTCAAGTGAAAATTTCGTCTCCTCATTCAATGAGGTGATTCAAATATTAGTGTTGAAGTTCATCGCCATGCATCAGGGTTGTGTGGGACGTATGCTACGAGGAGCTCGATGAATATAAGAAGCTTTACACCAACATTTTTAAGCTTTCTTTAATTCTAAGACTTCTATAGAATGAATTCATGTCAAATGACTTAACACTCTCGTACTTTTTGAATTGTCGGAGGTTGTAGAGGGAGGTGAGGAGGTGCCGGTGGTGTGTGGTCAGGCGGCTTAGGTGGCGGGTGGTGGTTGTTATTGATGGAAGGAGGCGATGGATTGGTAGCTCAAGAAAGAAGAAAATTTTGCGGGAAATGGACCGTTTTCCGTGTTTTCATATTTTGGGCATTTTGGCTTGAAAATGTTCAAAACGTTATTTTTTTGAGTTTTCAATACAATTTTTTTTTTCAAAAATTTATTTTTGAAAATGAGAAAGAGAATGCGTTATCACTGTTTTGAAAAATCGAAAACAAAAAAGGGATAAAACACCAAAGAGAATAGCCCTTAAACTTTTGAAACAAGATGACAACAATTTTGGATGGAAATGATTGCAGATTATAGGGCATTTTCGTCAATATGGCAAATAGGCTGGATCTGCGGCCTTTAATAAGGGAAAGTGACTTAACTATAAAACGAACCAACTTCTTGAATGGCAAATTAAACTTTTGAAACAAGATGACAAAATTTTTTGAAGTCGTCACAATGGCAAATAGATTGGAGCCGCAGCCTTTCATAAGGGAAAATTACATTACTATAAATGTTTCAGGACACATTTTCAAAAATAACAAACTTAAAAGGAAGGGTAATTGACACAAAACGTCCTTACCTTTCAAGTCTATTGTGGAAAACGTCCATTCCTTTCATTTTTTGGCATTTTGCCCTCATTTCAACCTTTCTTTGCGCTGGACGTCCTTCC